TTGGGCCGAGCTGATGGTTCAGCCATTCCCAGGGACAATGCCTGTGTTTTGGCAAGAATCTGTACAGCCATGGGAAGGTTTGCTGTGGCTCAGTGGCCTAGCTTGGTGGGGACAGAGTGGTCCAGTTAAGGAACCAGATGTCTCTCTGATGTGGAAGAAGCATGGAAGTGGGACTAAAGGTGGGAGAGAGCTGGAGAGGGAGAAGGTTGGCCTCTTCCAGACTCTTTCCTCGGTACCATTCATGTGGTCAGGCTTTTGTGAGGAGCGATGGAGATAAAGTATGTGGGCCTCAGTAATGGCGTTTATGGTTGTGGAGGCCACTGAGTTGAGCTTTGCCAAGGCTTGATCCAAATGGCACAGTTCTTGTCATCTGGTGACTTCTCAGTCCTCCATGAAAGCAGAAGTGGCTTGTGCCCACATGAGGTAGATTGGGGTTGTCATTGTTACAAGAATGTCAAGAATATCACCATTGCCGTCCATGTTGCCTATCTTTGAAGGATATGTTTCTCCATGGTTCTTTGGTCTATTGGTTAGACTATTGTTAGTCTGTGTTAAAAGAAACCCAAAATAACAGTAGCTTAAGCAAAATAGAAGTTTCATTCACTTTCACACAACAGTCTGGGTGTAAGCAGTCTAGGGTATTGAGGTGACTCGCCTGGGTCAGAGACTCAGGCTTCCTCCATCTGGTGGCTCTGTCATCACTCCTATATCATCTTCATCTGGATGGGCCATTGTGACTCACCACAACCTGTCTTCATTCTAAGCCACAGGAAAGGGAAAGAGGGCAGCTGTGAGCATGTCCCCCACCCCCCATGAAGGACCCATCCCAGAAGATGCCTACATCACCTTCACATCCCACTGGCCAGAATTTAGCCACCTACCTGCAAAGGAAGTTGGGAAGTCCCATCTTCATTTGGGGCAGCCATTGAGCCATCTACACATCTAGAATGCTATTACAGTAGAAAGGGAGACTACATATCGGGGACAGCCAGCAGTCTCTGCCACCAATCCTGAGGTCACACACCCGGTTTTCAGCTCTAGGGTCACTTTACTGAAGGAGCTTGGCGCTCCCTGGGGAGCGCATGGAGCACTGATGAAGTGAGAGATTTCCACCTGGTCTGCACATTTCTCCTTAAGGGTAGGAGAAGATGAGGACTGTCACGCTTCATCCATTAGTGAATGTTGTGTGACTTAAGCCACTTGTCGATTCCAGACTTGTTCCCCAGTGACTACACCACGTAGGAAAGGTGTGCCAAGCTGGGGTAGAAGGAGCCCAAGTGATACGAGGCTTTCAGTGCTGACCCTTCCAGCTCTGCCCCTGACTCGTAAAGTCACACCAGGCATGCCCTTTAGCTTCCCTGGTCTTTCCTCTCCAAAGTGAGCGGTTGGATTGGGTTATGTCTAAGGTGTGTGTCTAGCACCCATGTTCTAGAATTGTGAGATGCCTCGACACTCCACAACTTTGCATTAAAGCAGGCTTCTGGGGGGCATACAGCCACTTTAACTCCTTTGTTGAATGAGTTGGGGGGTCCGAATATACATGAACATGCTTGCAGACCGCCTGGGACCTGCAGACATGGGTTTTTCTATTTCCTCAGGCTTCCCTGGGTTGTGGGTTTTTGTAATCAGAAGTCGCAGCACAGTTTCCCATACAGTTAAGCTTATTTTTAATCTTATATTTTTGTTTATTCTGTTTCTGCTTTTAGAACTATTACACGTTTATTGTAGAAAAAAGAGGAAATTATAATGAAGGAAGCAAAAAAAAAATTGCCCAGAATGCCATTATTCACACTCGTGTTATTAAGGCTTAGTGTATTCCCTTCATTTTAGTATCTAAGAAAAGATGAAAAATACTTCTCTTACTTCAGTTCATCACATTGGGATCACACTATACATGATGTTTACAACCTGCTTTTTTTCACTTGATGACCCTTTCCTCAAATCCTTAAATATTTTTCAAGAACATGATTTTATTTATTTATTCATTTTTGTATTAATGAGCATTTTTAATTTATTTTTTTATTATGTTAATCACCATACGTTACATCATTAGTTTTTGATGTAGTGTTCCATGATTCATTGTTTGGGTATAACACCCAGTGCTCCACGCAGAACGTGCCCTCTTTAATACCCATCACCAGGCTAACCCATCCCCCCACCCCCCTCCCC